CCACTTCTGCAATTGCAGTATGAATGGTGCTTGGATACCACAGTGACCAATACATAAAGAGGGTGAATGCCTTTCAGAGGCTTGCAATGTTACCAATGGAAAGAGCTGATGGACCAGCTGAAGTTCTTGGCCAGTCAGAGCTAACCAGTGTGGTGGTTTTTGGAAAAATCTGAGTTTGGCACAGGGCAGACACTAAAGGCAGCACTAAAAGATCCTGATATTGCACAGTTAGTAGGGGGAGGATGGGTGAACCTTGGACTGTATGGCTCCTATTGAGTTCAATCCCTTTTCTACCACGTTGGGGCCCTGCTTTTCCCTGTGATGGTCAGATCATGGCATAGCCTCCCAGGAGACCGTGGAAACCTTGTTGCTTAAATTAGAGCCCTGTATGGGTACAAAATTTGTATCTGCCTCCAAACTGCAAATATGGTCCATAGTTATAAAGCAGATATCTACAGATTTGCAGGACTTCAACTTGAATAATTAAATCTAGACTGGATCTAATGTTAGGAGCCGTTCTGTACTAGTCTGGGACTGAAACAGACGATCCCAATAGGTCTTCTCTATGTAACTTCCAATTCTTTAGGCTGAGACAGTGTTGGCTTGTGCTACTTGAATGCCAGGGGGCTCATGAGAGCTGCAGTTCTTTTGTTGTTGTTGTGGCTGCTGCTGCTGCGGCGGGAGAAGGGGAGTTGTGCCACTGCTTTTAGTTCAGTTTTTTCCTTTGTTTCAGAAATCGCACCCATGATGGCAAAGACGATCAAAGCATTCAAAAACAGGTTCTCTCGAAGATAAGCTACTGGAGAGAGATGGGAATTCCCCTCGGAGGGGGAGTGGCATGGAAGGGCGGGGAAGGAAGGCACCCAAGTTGCTCACAGTCCTTGCCTTGATTGTGCTCCATGGATGCTGCAGCAGCTGAGAGAGGCTTAAAAATCTGCACAAGGATAACAGCACAGTGTTTTCCAAGCCAGCCCTCTGGTCCCTTTCTCTGCCTCCCGTCTTGCTCCCAATTTCTATCAAAAGTCCCATGTTCAGAATTATAACGCCATCATAAAATGTGAAGTCTTGGTATCTGCTGAGAATGGAAGGACTAGAGACTGATGTTGCTATTTAACCTCTTAATAAATTTAAAAAATGGTTTTAATGAATATTTCCCCCAGATATTATTTGCCACCCCCAAAGCCCAGTCCTGGTAGAAGGACCCTGCTTCTTTCCTCGTGACTTGAGTTGGAGCCATTTCCCTCAATGTGGATGCTGTTACAATGGGAGACTCTTCCTTGATTTCATGCCCACTACATGTTAAGTCCCATCTGGAACCTCTGGGACAAGGTAATACTGGAGGCCAATCTTCTTACCAGCCCTTCAGCAAGCTGGGTTGGGCCTGAGACAACATTCTCCAGTTGTGTATGTTAATGAATCCCAGCTCTCAACTTCTCTGATCTCCTCTTTATACAGTTTCTTAAACTGCTGTTTGGGAATGCTGAGAGCTGTTGAGGATCCTTCTCCCTGCTCTGTTCTCTTCCCCTTCGCTTTACTGGAAAAACACAAGTATTCTTTGGGTGAAAAATCACTGCTGAAACTGAAATTTTAATCACTCTCATGGGTTTTAGATTGGTCTCACTCTGTAAGCCAGAACAATTTTAACAAAACCAATGAAGGAATTGGTTTTATTTTTTTTAGCAGAAGGAAGCAGCTGTGTCTTGTTTCCCATGTGCCATACAGCATTGGAAAGGATTTTCTGAGTTTTAAAGCTGACACTTTATCCCACCCTTTCCCTGTAAATTATTGCTGGAAAAAACAAAAGCTTTAGTGTGTTGTTTTTAGTTTGTCAAACCACTTTATGAGGAAAATGAATCACATCTTATGTTGGTGCAAACACTGCAGTACGAATTCAAAACACACAATGTCTGAGGAAAAATCCCAGCTGCGGAAGGGAGGGATGAGGTTTTACCTTTGAGTGAGCAGCCTCTGTTGAGCTTGACAGAAAAGTAATGAGGACTTGGGAGCAAAATGCCATCATGAAGGTGGCCATGTGTAAGGATGTTGGCAATGTGACTTCAGTTAAATGAGCAGAGTTTCACTATGGCTGTAGCTGCTTCTGGCAGTTTTAAGGTGAAGGGCACTATTAGGGAGTCACTGTCAGTTATAAAATCCATATTATGGCTGGTAGTTCAGCACAAGCACTGAATCTGTCTTGGCAGATGTGAAAGCAAGTTTACCTGTAACACTATTAGCATAGATTTGACTGGGTTAGAGCCGGTACTGCTGTGAGGTAACCTGTTCTGCTCTTGATGGCTCAAGCCTATCTGATCTCTTCTATAAGAAGATCTGGAAATTACTCATTTGAATTGCTCCTAAATGAAATTGACTCCATAGGACATTCTGCCTTCTTTCCTCTAAGGAGAGCAGCTCTTGGTGGTAGCTGCTCAACAGCATTGCTGTTGTTTTCTTGTCTGGAAAATCCTGAACAAATGGAGTTGGCTGTGTATGCTGACCTGAAAACTTTGCTGTAAAGTGCTTACCACAGAGGGCTTGGGATGGTGGTTCTTAGGCATTTTGAACCTCCAGGAAGTCCCAATTTTTATTTGCAATTTTGAAGATCTTGGAAGAGTTTTCTCAGAATTTTGTGTGTGGTAAATTTGTTAGTCCCAGACGCTTCAATGATGTTACCGTGCAGCATTTCAGTGTGTGTTGTGCTGTAAAATAATGCCTTTTGCTCTTGCATTTTGCTGTATTTAATTTGCTGTTTAGGCATTTTGAACCTCCAGGAAGTCCCAATTTTTATTTGCAATTTTGAAGATCTTGGAAGAGTTTTCTCAGAATTTTGTGTGTGGTAAATTTGTTAGTCCCAGACGCTTCAATGATGTTACCGTGCAGCATTTCAGTGTGTGTTGTGCTGTAAAATAATGCCTTTTGCTCTTGCATTTTGCTGTATTTAATTTGCTGTATTTTTAATTAGGTAACAATATATAATCTTCTGCCAACTGTTGTGCTACCATTTATTTCTGCTTTTGACTTGGGCTGTGGGAAAAGGGACGACTCATCTGCATCTGGGCCATGTTTAAAGAACCTTGGGTAAATCCTGAGAACCCTCTCAGGCACCATTAAATTGCTACCTAGCATTATTTGGTTAGATATCCACATCTGGACTGTGGATACTACTACTTTTAGCTGTGCAGTGGGTATATATCCCATTAAAACCTATTCTCTCGCTGCAGACCCTGTCATCTGTCAGTATTTTAGCCTAGTTTGGTGGATTTGTGGCAAAAGATACAAATATGGTTGCCTCTAATCCCATAACATTTCAGTCCACTTGCTCAATGAGCAAATCCTTTGTATGAGACCAACACTCATCCCTCTTCTACAAGGTGCTCTTTCTTTTTTCAGTCAGACACTAAATCTCCCAGGCTGAAAGAATCTGAATGCCTTTTACTGAGGGGGAGGAATAATTTTAGTAAGACCCAAACTAAGACAGCTGTTGAGTAAAATTGCTTGCTTAGTTTCCAATCTCTTCCAGCATTTGTTAAACTTGTGCAATTTTCTGTGCTATGTGCAAAGAAACCATCTAAAATCCATCCCCCCTTGAGTGCTTTCGCTGGGTTGGGATGAGTGACATGGGCAGGAGGGAGAGTTATGCTGATTAGCATTTGTACTTTAGTCCCCAACTATGTATATACAATTTTCTATGTTACTTTTTTGTGGTAACTATGGAGATTAATATTTTAATTAGATAAGTTATATGAAAAGAAGAAAATCATGTCTCAATAAAAGCCAAAACACTGGACAGTGTCTGTCTGTTCCTTTCTGGCTCTGGGTAATAAATGAGCATAGTGAAATAGCAAACTAGGAAGTATGATTGCATGGTACTGCTGATGAGCTGAATTTACCTTTTTAATCTGACAGCCCCATTTCCAGTTTAATTTTCAGAAGTCTCCTGTTATCTAGAGGCTATAATCCATGGATGGAAAGAAGGGTGAAATCCTAGGCTCACAACAGGATCTAAGCAGTTGTCTGTCATGTTTCCTTTCCTCCCTATCTGCCCCAGTCTGAACCAAGAACTATGAATTGATATTAAAAATACCTTTTAAAGCAGTATAAGAAAATGGCCTCTCCATGTTTATAGCTGAACGTGGCCACTCCATTTGAAAGCTAGGTAACTGAAGTTTGAGGATGGAAGGACCTGTCTGGCTACCGCACTCCAGAGAGCTGCCGGTTAATCCCTTGGCTGAGTTGTAACCCATTCTTATTAACTCACAAGGGTTAGGGTTAGGGTTTTTCTGGAAAATCAGCTGCTTTTCCCGGAAAAACTTGCCAGCTGTTTACACTGGCCGCTTGAATTTCCGGAAAAGCACTGACGATCTCATGTAAGATCATCAGTGCTTTTCCGAAAATACTATGCTGCTCCTGTTCGGGCAAAAGTCTTTTTCTGAAAGACTTTTGCGCAAAAGGGCCAGTGTAGACAGCTCAGATTTGTTTTCCGAAAAAAAAGCCCCGATTGCAAAAATGGCGATCGGGACTTTTTTGCAGAAAAGCGAGTCTAGATTGGCACGGACGCTTTTCCGCAAAAAGTGTTTTTGTGGAAAAGTGTCCATGCCAATCTAGACGCTCTGTTCCGAAAATGCTTTTAACGGAAAACTTTTCTGTTAAAAGCATTTCTGGAAAATCATGCCAATCTAGACACAGCCATTAAGTTTTCATTACAGCCTAACCCTTTCCCCTATGGCTTTATTGTCTGTGACATATCCATAGAATGTATGTTGAGCTCTTAGCAGTACTCCCCTTGTCTCCCAAACTATAGCTTTATTGGTTTCCAGTCACTCTTAACTAATCACTCTGCCCTTCTCTGCATTCACACTGAGCACTTAAAACACTGTGTATGTACAACATCACAGTTCCAACACGGGCTTTAGCTAGAGCAGTCTACCCAATAGGAGTATGTCTAGCATAGTTCAAGCTCAAAGGAGACACTCTTATGGTGACACATAGTAAGTGATTTCTTGCCCAGGGAAGGGAAGTCTCAGTAGGGCAAGAGTCAGAGAGGTGCAGGTTGTGAAGAGCAGGACAAGCTATGAGAAGTGCAGGTGTAGATCTCCTGAAGCAGGATAATTTTACAGCAAGGCTGTATCTCGATTGGCCAGTTTTCCAGAAAATCAGCCACTTTTCTGGAAAAACTTGCCAGCTGTCTACAGTGGCCACTTGAATTTCTGCAAAAGCACTGACGATCTCATGTAAGAGTGTCAGTGTTCTTACGGAAATGCTGTGCTGCTGCCGTTCGGACAAAAGTCCTTTTGCGCAAAACTTTAGCGCAAAAGGGCCCGTGGAGCCGGCGCGGTGTTGTCAGGCGGAGCCAGGTGGAGCTGCTGCTGTAAAACTTGCCAGCTGTCTACAGTGGCCACTTGAATTTCTGCAAAAGCACTGACGATCTCATGTAAGAGTGTCAGTGTTCTTACGGAAATGCTGTGCTGCTGCCGTTCGGACAAAAGTCCTTTTGCGCAAAACTTTAGCGCAAAAGGGCCCGTGGAGCCGGCGCGGTGTTGTCAGGCGGAGCCAGGTGGAGCTGCTGCTGTGTTGTCAGGCGGAGCCAGGTGGAGCCGGCGCGGTGTTGTCAGGCGGAGCCAGGTGGAGCCGGCGCGGTGTTGGCAGGGGGAGTCCGCGCGGTGTTGTATTTG